GTATTTCTGATTCATACTATACTAATTCAGAAGTCAAACAACAAAAATCAGCGTTATATTTTCACATTTTCACAGGACTAGTTTCGATGGTTTTACCGAACCACCATCGTCAGCTGCAAAAGCCCAAATGAACGAGATAGGAAATAATGATCAGATAAGATAAGAAAGCCTCGACAGAAAATAAGCTAGTAGCGCCATGATGAAACCAGTTTTTATATAAATATATATTATATATTATATTTCTGTTGATGAAACCAGAACTAAAACATAATTTCTTTAAAGGGCGAAGGCAAAGATGGATTGGAATTAGGATCGTTAACTAGAACAGAAAGATTTTTTGAATGTGAAATGCCTCTAGAAAATCCAATTTTCCAACGGAAGATGTTTTTTGAATAATTTTGGCAGTAGAAAAATTGAAAGTGTGATTTTTGGACCAACAATGTTGGGCAACAAAAGACTTCTGTGTTTCCCTTTTTCTAACATATGCCTCATGTTTCTTGACGCAAAATTTTAAGGCTCTCTTAGTTTGGCTAATGTAAATTAAACCATACTGGCATCAATTAGCTATAAAGTTGCACTTATTTTGCAGAAATTTAACTTTCAGGTTGTTTATTCTCCATTATTTTGCGTAAGGGGATGGATGTGTTCACGGAGGATTTTCTAAAGCAAACTGCTCGCATACATGTTCAAAGTAGAGAAAACAATAAACGCCCATGCAGCCAGCCGTTTGCCAAGATCCAAATCTCTGACCGAACTACCAGCGTTCAGAAATTTTACCGTTCAGCCACTGGTGAGCGAAGTGAACGCAGATCAATTTTCCTTAAAATTCTTTGCACGAAGATAATCCTTCCCTTAAGTAGATATTCCAAGAAAATTTTTCAATAATGCAATAAATTCAATCCAGTAATGATGCAATAAATCAATTAAATAACAGCTTTGTTATTTAATGCAATGATCATTACATTTTTCTCCATGTAGATCCCTATGTTAGTGCGAAATGTTCTTATTCAAATTTATATTTCAACACTCTCTTAAAATAGAATTAGCATAGTAAAATGTAATTCATTTCAATATTTTCTTTTCTAAAACTGAATTCTGTGACAACACATGCCCGTTTTTTATAGAACGTTGAATCTGTTTATTTCCTAGGCAAAATCATATTTTTTATGCTTTGATAGCCAGAATTTTTATTCTCGTTCTGTATTTTGCATATACAACAGCGATTTAAATAAATTTTGAGTATTTCAGTTTTTAAATTTGTTTCGTTCATAAATCAGTCTCCGTCATGAATATCGGGTAATCTCTGTAATTGGTGCTATCGTGATCTTTTAAACAATGTGGGGAGCGATTTGCTTTGAAATTTTATTTTGCTTAGCATTATCTATGGACATATCTCCTGTTTTTGTTTTCTTTTTGTTATATTTTATAATAATAATAATAACAACAATTATTATTAATAAGGAACAGCTTATTAGATTGCTTTTTTGCTTAAGTATAGATGCTGACCACGTTTCTATATTCCTATGAAAAGTATTATTGGTTTTAGAATTTTGATCGTTCGAGCAAAGTAGGAAATAGTTTAACTGAAAATATTGAAAAGCTGATTCGTTGTCAATGTTTATCAAGTTCGCAAATAAAATGAAGAGGTTGCTACAATTGCATCACACAAGTTTGCACATATAACTGGAAATCACAAAATACACTTTGAGAATAGCAACGTAATAAAAGAAGTAATGCCTTCTGCATCGGGAAAATAATTAAATGTACATCGAGGAATCAAGTATATATTTTTGTAAGTATGGTTTTTCGATTCGTGTGATTTCTCAGTGAAGAAAGATATACTGTCAGTTTTGCCTTTAAAATGCAGTATACGCGGAGTTGACTTACACCAAGAAACCATATAATTGAAATTAATCTTATGCTTCAAATACTTGTGTCCATTACAACAGACGGCGCACATACTATAATTGGTTCTATTGTAGGTTTTATTACATTATATAAAAATAATGTTGACTTTCCAATCTCTTTTTAACTGCCACTGCATCATTATAAAAGGCATTATGTCCAAATTTTTACCTTATGGACACGTGATGAAATTTGTACGATAAATTATAAAACCTATTCCTATTACACCACTTCAGAATACATTGTTCAAAGAACTGACTGATGAACTTGACGCTGAGAATGGAACTTCATAACATTCTGAAAATTATATGGCTTACTAAGAGAGAAGCCCTACAACGATTTTTAGATCTTTTTCCAGAGATAAAACAATTTTTAGAATTCAAAAATGAAACTTTTGAAGAACTTAGTGATCATGGCAGGTTATCTGATTTAGCCTTTCTTATGGACATAACAACCAAAATGAATGAACTAAATCTTGAACTTCGGTGGAAATAAAATAATTTTATTGAATTAATAAGAAGTATAAATGCATTTTAAATCAAAATTAAAAAGGAAGGAATGTAACTTTTCGATAATAATTTAACCGCTAAACACTGTTAATACGACTGAGTTTAAATTCCGCCGAACGGGTTAGTTGCATAGGAATTCCATGGTATTCCTGGTATATAACATGAATTCCTGTCAGTTGTCCTTAAAAAGACCTCCACGGCATCTCTTGCCTTGGGCAGATAGCTTTAACGTGTTTCGCCATTATCTAAAAATGCCATTCATAATATTGTAGATTTCTTGTTTGAAGAATAGATCATTTTGGTTTGCGATTTCTCTTCCAAGTAGTTCTATTTCCGAAAAGGATACTTGTGTAATAGCGATACATTACTAACAATACCACCCATGATTCTGTTGATTTTAAGGCTTTGTGGTAACCCTAGAAGCTGTTAGAGATGGTATTGCTTGCGATAAATTGCCTGGTGTATAAAAATATCCTATGAAGACAGCAATTATTGAGTTGATGCAAACAAAACAGCCTATTTGGAAAGAATGAAAAATAAGGGAATAAAAAGAATAACAGTGCCTGTTTAGTTAATGTAATCAGCAATAGCAACAGCACATTGTTGCCAATACGCGATAAGGTAATTTATAACACGTTTGTAAAAATTAGTGTCTCTGGAAATGAAAGTCTCCGCTGCCCGATAAATTGATGTGTCTTTGGCAAATCATTTCTTGAACAAAGAATAGTTATAATAGATGGCTAGCTAAAGTAATAACCTGTTGGGGAAATGTCAGGACAGCATAGAGGATAAAGTCCGATTTCGTGGTAGTATTACAGCGGATTTTATGGCTATAACCTAGAAAGGTTATGAATGCGCTATGTAAGTAGTAACTGCATTCCATACTGTGAAAGAATGTATTTTGATGATAATTCATAAATGCTGTTTTATAAAAGCGAATGAAAGTTTTAAGATGAATATATATATAAAAATCAAATAAAATCTCCTGAAAAATGTACACTAGTGTAAAAACGAGTAAAACATCAGTACACATAATACGCCATATATTGAACAGAATGACAGTGAAACTGATTCAGATATAATACTAAAGACCAGTCTGTTTTAAATACTAAGACAGGTCCAAATTGACGTCTTTTTCGATCAAACGGCCGCCATTAAAATATCTCAGAAGAAATCTGTCAAAACACATTTCATGTTTGAGAGACAGTTTGAGCAAATAGATTCACTCTCATATTTCAGCAGAAAGTTACGTGTAATTCGGGAGTGATCGATACTAAAAGGTGTTAAAAAACCGCCTCCTTTCCATTTCTAGTCTTCTTCCGATATTCTACTCTAGGGTTTGATAATCCTCAATTTATTATTTAGCTATCATCCTAAAATACTTGCCAATAATCCAAATTGTTATTTTGATGAGCGGGCTAATTAATATTTTTGGAAGGATAGTTTTACAGCAGACCTTGCTGTGATGTCTGTCAGCTAGTTGCCTTTAATCCTTACATATGTCTGGGAATCCAGCAGAGATACTTAAAGTTAGTTTTAAAAATTTCACAACTAAAGGATTCCGGGTATCAAAAGTTGTTCTCAAATTTCTATCGAACTATTAGATAGAGTCAGTATAAATTACAGACTTCTTCCGACATAATTTAGAAATGAAAGAGAGGGCAAAATACAGTCCAGTTAATATCGGGCATCATGCATTCGTCTCCGTGTGATTTCCAATAAAAATGTCGCTCCAATATAATTGAACTCTCATGTTGAACGGAACAAACATAGAGGCCGTACTTCAAATAGAAGGTTATAGCAATCATTAAAAGGAAAAAAAAAACTTAATACTAAGATTTTCCTTTAACCTTTCAAATAGTTACTTTTTTTTTCTGATACCCCTAACAGATAGTCTGAAGTACTTTGACAAAGTGCTAACGAGGATTCTGTTACCTGTGGACGACAGTATAAATGTCATGTGCATTCCATTGGTGTAACTTTTTTGTTAAATCTTCTTCCATCAATATAAAATCAGTTGTGAAAATCCAAGATAGAAAGAAGATCTTAGGCCTTTTTCCTTTTATATTGCAATATTTCTGAAATACTTAAGTACTATAGAAACGTAACCTTAATTTTGGTTCAGAACTCTTTATTAGAGGTAACATGGTTTAGTCAACGCCGAATAATTTTTATTATTTTAAGCGCAACTTTAATACTATGGTGATTATGGTGTCATAGGCATCAAAAGTGCACTTAAGACATATATGATGAAATTTTTGTTCTCTAAATCTTTGTTTAACGCAAGAAAAAACTTTAAACTTTCAGTATTAGTGATTCGGGAATAACTTATTTTTAATACCATTTCAGATTTGTCAAACATCAAAAGTCTGAAACAACTGTTCTTCTGACAACTACCTTCCATTGTTAAATTTCTAATCCAATTTACTTTTAATTCCTTATCATTTACGTGTATTGAAATTACTTAGAAAATTTAATAAGTATTGTTAGTTAATTTAAAAAATAGATTTATTTAAACGTTTTTGAAATGTTTTCTGCACTTAATTTTTACAGTGAAATTTATTTAAATAATTCACAAGTCATTCAAAACATTAGTATATATATTTAATCCAATTATACATATGTATATAAAATAAAATATACATTAATAAAGGAAAGCCTAAAAATATCACCCTACAATTTAGAACTGCTATATGGTAAAGAAATAGAATGATAAATTTTATGATATTTATTAGAATGATAAAGGCACTAATACGTATTTAAAGCTTCTTCCAGGTCTGGATGGAATAAGATGAATACGCAATTTTTTTTAGTGAAATAATACATAAATGCATTAAAATATTTCAAAATATGTCACTGCTTTTCTATAGATATCTGATTACAAATTAGTTGGCCAGTAAATAAATACCTATTAGCAGCATATTCATAATTATTCACATTACTATTTTAAATCACATATCATTTTGTACTTTAAAAAACATAATTCGTTAGATATAATACTAGTTGAGTTTTATTGTACATTTAAGCAGAATAAGTATTGAATCTGTATACCAATCATTATATAAAAATTCAAGGTAAAAATACATTTAATCAGATTTAACTAATACAAAAATTAATGTTCGAATAAATATTTCTTGTGCCTCAATCCTTTCATTTTAAATTTAACCTTAAATATAGGTTTATACATACACTATACACCTAGAAGTCAAAATCAATGGAACTCATTGATTGTACATGATGTGGAAGAATTTTAGGTACTTAAAAACACTTGAGAGACTAAGATGAATATTTTGAAATATTTACATTGAAATTATCATCATGGAATAATTCATTAGCACATGTATAATAGAAAAAAAAAACAAAATTTACAGAACTTTGGTGACACAAATACTGAATTCAAACAGGAAGCTCTTAAATGTAAAGGGAAGAATGCAAAATGCTTCTGGATCTTGATTAAGGTTTCATTATCTTCAACTGTACATAGTCTTTTCAACCCACTGAAATATTTAAATGCGTTATTATTTACATGGAAAAAAATTCACTTTACTAAAATATGCACTACATCTATATATAAAATATTTTTCTAGCATTTTGCTCATAAACTATTATAGACTATATACTTTATACAACAGATAAATGTATAAGGTATATAAGTTTCAACCTTCTTAGCATGTCTTCGTGGCGTAAAAGTTAGCACGCTTGTCGTGTATTCGAGAGGTCCGTGGTTCGTGTCCCGGCGAGGGCATTGCTCATTTTTCTGTCTCCTGCTTTGAAATAACCTAATGTCTCTACAGTGGCTCCCGAAGTAAAAAAAAAAGATGGTGGATGATGATTCTCCACCACCAGGACTTGGTGATTGGGTCCCTTAATTCCCTGTCTCCCTTTAAAAAGGGAATTATGTAAGGTATTTCTCGAACTTTCTTAGCATGCCTTCGTGGTGTAGAGATCAGTATGCTCGGCGCGTATTCGAGAGATTCGTGGTTCGAGTCCCGGCGAGGGCATTGCTCATTTTTCACGTCTTCTGCTTCCAAAATACCTAATGTCTCTACAAATAGCACCAGAATGAATATGCACGATTTAAATTTTACACATCAAGGAATTTTTCAGAATGATTCAATGATTTTTATAAAATTAGATAAATATATGGAAAAATATAAAGCTTCAATATAATAAAAAGAAATATTTTATCATTATATTTCTCCAAAATATTTGAAAATCTTCAAGCGTCTTTTACAATAATAATTTCTAAAATGGTTTCTTTTTACTCTACGCAGTGGGAACTTGGTATCCATCATTAATTTATTGCAGATCCTTGGTGTATACCAAATGAACATGTCCGATAAGAAATAAAGGTATAAGGGAAAATAATCCTTCTAATAAAAAATCCTATTATTATAGCATTGTTTACTACTCAAATACAAATGCAGTGGATGAAATTCATAAATTCATTACACGTAAATGAAGCCCTGGCATGATTCTGTACATAAATGTTTTTCTGCTATCCAGATCAATAGCAGCTTTTAAACGTACTTTAATGTTTCTGATCTTTGTTTGGTTATCGATTTCATCCCCTTCGCCATGTTAGCCCACTTATAGCGTCTTTGGTTTTCTAAATCTTAGACGCCATCATATTTGGAATACGTTATGTAATAAGCCAAGTCCTGCCTAAGCATGCCGTCTTCATATTTTTTCAGCGATCTCGTTTTTCCACTCCTTTGTGATCTTAGTATTTATTTTCGTTGCTTGATTCTTCTCATTAATTTTCCTAGAACTTATTGCTAGTAAACTTACAAAAACCTGACGTGTAAAAATACAAAATCACTTGAAAATTCAGAATTATAGCCTAGGTTGTTTACTGAACTGTAGCAACAGGGGTCAGATGTTCATGGGCATTCGTAGTATTGTCTCGAAAGAGGTAAACAAGTGTAGCACACAGAATCATGACTCGTGAAATTCAAGTCGTATTCCAAACAAATATGGTATACCCAAACAAAAGTTTTCCCGTCCAATCGTTATAGTAGTATAATACCTACAAGCTTCTGATATCGTCTTACAAGTATGTTAGTCAAGAATTCTATGAAAGCAACTTGCAAAAGTTTCAAATATTTCATATGTAAACATTCCTTTTGACGAAATCCTAGATGAGTAATGGCATAACCTTTGAGTTCGGCATGTAGAAATTCGAAGAAAACCCTTCTTAACTCTGTAGAATAATCCATCTTCCCAGAATGAATTCGAGCCGAACGGAAGCCCAGCACATGTTGACAATGAAAAGGCCGTTATAAGAGACAAATATTTTTGCATTTTGCAATTTTTTTTCTCCGCCCACGGCTCTGGAAATGCGTGTACCCAAAATGGATTTGCGTGTCACATATTGTGTTATTATGTTATAAAGGTGTCCGTCGAAAGCTTCGCGGCCAAGCGTCGTGGAGCAAACAAGCAAGGTCGTGGAGCAAACAAGCATCGTGAGAGAAAGTAAAGAGAAAATATCGCTGTTTTTAAAACACAGGGATATAAAACATGGTCTCGAAAATAAAGCGCTTCAAAAATATCTCAGTTTTAAAATATCGTGGTAAAAAATAAAGCACCTACAAATCATCACATTACGACAATACAACAGACATCTCCCCCAAGTATTAAAGAGTTGTAAATGTATGTTCGCGTAATAATTTGTGAGCGCAAGAAAGAATGAGAAATATTTTACTTCTATATTTCAGAGTTTTAAATTAAGTTATACTTATTTGCTAAAAAAGCAAGAAGGAAACTTGTGCATCCAAAAACTGAATGGAAATGTCCAGTTGGTCTAGTGGTAAAGTCGCCGAACACTGGTAGTGCAAACGAAGATAGAACGACTTAGCTGAATGAGATTTGTGTGGTTTTTCTGACGTATAACGTGGATATGAGATAATTTCTGAGAAAGTGGTTCATAAATGCATCATTCCTCTCAGGAAGATAGTCCTAGTATGGTGTAGAGACATTAGGTATTTTTTGAAAGCAGGAGACGTGAAAAATGAGCAATATCTTTACCGGGACTCGAATCATGGGTCTCTCGAATACGCGCCGAGCGTGTTGACTACGAGACTACGAAGACATGCTAAGAAGGCTTAAGAAATACCTTATAGTGGTAGGCCGTAACTCAACAAATCCGAATCCCGTATTGAAATATTATGCACACCATACATCTGGTACATAGTTACACCTAACATGTTTCTTCAGAACTAACGAATCAACTTCCAGACGATTAACTGCATGCTGTACGCGAAACTGTTAATGGTATTTTAAGAAGATGCATAAACAAAACAATAAGATTTAATTTTTACTAAAAGAATATCAGGTTAGCAAAGTGAAAGAAAATTTGACAATTTGATAGATAAAAAATTTTGATATAGGTAACCCCACGTAGTTACTCATCTTCTCTTTTCTAATCATTTTTATACTATATTTTTCATGAAAAATTACCAACAAAACTTCATAAAGGTGATTACTAAAATAATGACCTTTAATTTTAGCTCGACAAGTTTAAAAGTCTATTGATTGTTATGGGTAGCATTAATTTTTTACTCATTTTCAGTTTTTGAATGCTTGAGCTTCCTTTTTGCTTTTTTAGCAAAAATTTAATTCCAAAATATGAAAAATAGGGGTAAAAATATTTACTATTTTTTATCACGATACTTTCTACGATGATGTTTTAATATACTATACTTTTTAACCGTTTTATTTTCTGCGACGATGTTTTGAACCAAGATGTTTTAGAACTGCGATGCTTTCCAGTTGCTTTCTCTTTTTCTCCCACGTTACTTTGTACGATGAATTTTCGCTTCGTGTTGTTTTCGCCATGACGTTTCCCTCCACGATGTTTTCATCTGTAATCTGTCATAAGTTCATCATCACTGTCCCATATTTTCAGATATTCGTTCCAGTTAAATGCGCAAATCCCGCCTTTTTAAAGGCAAATGTGCCCAAACATTAGAGTTTTACCATTATCCTCGAAAAATTAGGGAATTATCTTCGAAAGAGACTGGCAATGTAAACTTAAACAAACTATCAGAAACTTAAACAAACTATCATAATCAGTATGGTATCCGAATATATAAACACATTCTAAACTAAACTAAACTCAGAGGCACAAACAGCTTTTGGAGAGCCATGGCCGGCAGTAGACCGTGGGCTCTGGGGTGCTTGAGTACCTTGCCTGGGCAAGCAGTCAGCTTATCGCAGGAACCCCGGATAAACGGATAAGCACATTCTAACTTTTTAAATTTCTTATTCATGGAATTTTAATAATTTTAAACACAATGTTTTATTATATGTCTAACATACAGGATATCAGACCTGATTACCCGTCTAACATCCAAGATATTTGACATAATTTCCATAATGAAAATGTTTCAACGAGATAGTCCGAACTATTTCTAATCAAAAATTTTTGTATTGCAAATAACGAAACTATTGCTTCATTCTAATTATGTTTCCTTCTGATTCGTCCATTCACAAGATGTGATTGGCTAAGGACAGAAGATTCATCAGATTATACAAGGTCCTTATAGAAGTCAACAACCAAATGCCCCCCGAGCTAGTCTATTTCGGAAATTCCCCATTCCCAATTAATGTAATGGCTGTGACTTGCTTCATAATATTGCAGCCACTTCAAATGCTAACACTGGTACACTGGACACCGAAGCCGACATCAACAATGCAATCAGAGGTTTCACGGACTTTCTTCAAAAATCACGTGACAAAGCTACACGCAAGATCGCCGACAATTTTGACAAGCATAAACTTCCAATGCATATCGAAGAAGTTAATGCAGTACGTAACAGATTTCGAAATGTTTTAATAAGACATGGATCCCGAATATGAAGACGGAGATCAACAGATTAAATTTAAAAATTAAAGCGATAATTCAGGCACAAAATACTGCTACCTCGAATGATATAACTACGAATTTCAATCTGATGTTTCGTCAGCGGATCGTCTGATTGTCTGACAGCCAATTGCATTGCGGCAGTGATAAACAACGTTCAAATTCTGACCATATTGTACTGCGGTACTATAAGTGACTTCAAGAATAAATTAATCAGCACCATCATATTGGATATAATTTTCATGTTAAACAGATCGCTTATTCCCATATTTTTCGGTATGCTTTTCTGATCTGGAATGTTAAATTTATGTTAGGGTAGATACGCACATGTGGAAGGAAATACCGAATTTGTTACGCCATGTAGAAGTAGTTATCCAGCACTTCAAAACTTTGTCAGCCCAAAAACGACTGTGAGAAAATACAAGACACAGTGCCACCTTTTATTTCTCGTCCTCAAAAATGATTCACAAGTACGGACTAACATGTGTGAGGCTCTTCATGGGATTCTGTGAGACTCTTGCAAGAGTGGGATAAATTCTCGTCGAACATCAGAATAAACAGCAAAGCATCAAACAATTGAATGAAATTCGATGTAAAAAGCAGTTTCTCGTATGTAGTCGAAAAAAATAGCAAGTATTAAGGACCATCGCTATAATAGTTCAGAGATGACAATGCCTGGTGAATTAGGTGTTCTGCAAGATGTTAATTCCAAACTGTTATATCGCATTGGAACATGATTCAACAAATTGTCTACTTTCTTTTAACTATCTATTTTCAACTGGTATTTCTCAGGCTTGATGTTTTTTTTAATTTTACACTATTTTTAATATATTTTACCAAATATCAGCCAGATAAAATCCGAAACACTAGCGGCTTCTGTAATGCCGAAACCACTGTATGTTGTCATATTAAGAAAAAGGCTTGTTTATTGTCTATCATGATGGACTCAACAAACAGACGTTGGACGTTTAAATAAACAGCTCTGAACAACAATCACATACTTTCTGTGCAATAACACAGCAATTCGCATCTGATAAATTAACCATTTAATATATGTGTGATAACAGGAAAATTCAATTTTCCCCAATTCAGAGCCTTGTAGAAATATTTAACTGATCAAGGAGGGGGGATTCAGAAACTTAAACAAACTATCATAATCAGTATGGTATCCGAATATATAAACACATTCTAAACTAAACTAAACTCAGAGGCACAAACAGCCTTTGGAGAGCCATGGCCGGCAGTAGACCGTGGGCTCTGGGGTGCTTGAGTACCTTGCCTGGGCAAGTAGTCAGCTTATCGCAGGACCCCCGGATAAACGGATAAGCACATTCTAACTTTTTAAATTTCTTATTCATGGAATTTTAAGAATTTAAAACATTTTAAAATATTAGTTCAAGTATTTTAAATTTAAAAAATCCAGCTGTACTTTAAATTTAAGTTCGGTGATTTACCATTTATTGACTAAAAATTAGAGATACTGAAAGCATTTAGTACTTCTAATTTTAAGTTAAATGCTATTAATAGTTGTAACAAATAAAAGTTACCTCATCTAGAGTAAAGGTGGCCTTCAATGTTCTGCGAGGATCCCTTTCTTGGAAGGTTTCTAAAAAAGGGAACGAATATATTAAGTTACAATTTTTATACATTTTTATTGTAATGTTGCTTTAGAGAAAGAGAAATAAATACTTCTTAAATTAATAGTTAATTTTAGAGCATAGCATTCATGAAAGATGATTTCCCATTTTATTTATAAAAGTATAACAAATATTAAAATGCTTCTAATTTTTCCTCCAAATTTCAAGCTGTTTATTATGCTCTTTTTAATCATCTAGATATCAAGCAATCATCCAGTTATTCAAATTTCACACATGCTTTGAAATTTCCCTTACTCTTAACCTTTGAGCAATAAGTTAAGTAAGAAATCAAATATTAATACTGGTATATCAGAGTAACGTTATTTTCTGATTATATGTTGCCAGTTGATACAATATTGATTTTAATAATGTAGCTGTATAGTAGTAGTACTTAAGAGAAAAATCACAATAAAGATAATCCCAATAAATCAAAATTTTAGAGCAATAAGTAATTTATATCTTTTTCAAAATGTTAATATTACTTTTATTTCAACAGAACAGCAAGTTTATGTTATATCAACACATAAACATCTAAAATGGGATAATGGGCAGAAGAGACTACCACAGAAATGTCGCTGCTGAGCAAGAACTGAAGTGAACTGAGTGAACCTTACGAACTAAAGTGAACTGAGGACTAAAATAAAACCAGAAAGACTTAAAATCAGAACGAAAGGGGAAGCAGCCATGATTGCTGCTTATGTGTTTGTAATTAATATGCTTCTATCATTTAAAGTCTTTTGTAACTACTAATAAAGTATGTTGTGTTGTTAATGAAGCATCTCACATTTTAGACTGGATAGTTCACATTTTTAGACTGGATTTTTTAGAGTTCTTCTATCAAGCCGCACACCACAAAGAAGACAACCTTTCGACATATTTTATTGCTCTTCTAAAAGAAAACATAAAAGACCTGAAGCTGCAATTCCAGTGTAACGGCATAATAAAACTGAATATTATTATCAAAATAATCATCAATGAGCAGAATAAGTTGCAGTTATTCATGAGGCTTATTTTCTGGAATTTAGTGAATAGGAGACACAAATTTCTACCGTTAATAAAATTTTTCACTTAATGTTTACATAATAATAGTATCAATAATAATACTATAATCTATTAACTATTCAAAAATTAAATTCTATGTCGTAGGCATTAACACTCAGCGATATATTACTAATACATAATTATTATGAGGGTGTTTTAAAAATTTATTGAAGAACATTTGAGAAAGCAGTGATGAAGGAAAATTGCAGTAAACTTATTATTCAGTTATTTTCAATATCCAACATTTAATCTGCTTCAATAACAAGAATGTTAAAAGTGTTACTTTATACCTAAGCTCGACGAAATTTAAAGAAATAATGGTTAAAACTTACCTATCATGGTCTTTAGTTTGACAGCACACATAATAAAGTCATCAAAGTTGATTTTTCCACGTTTACCATAACGAAGAACTAATGCTCGTAAAACATGGAAGTTCAGACGGTATCCTACACATTGAATAAAAAATACAGTCACAGAAAGTCATAAAAAAGAGTCTCGATAATTTAAAAATACGTATCACTAATCTATATCTAAGCCAAATAGACTTAGGTATAGATTAGTGTTTTTGTAATAGTGTTAGAGCCGATTAAATCTTTTTTTATTGCAAAACGCTCAGCCTTTTAACAATTCATAACCTATTTTAACTACATGCAGGGACGTAGTTAGAGGAAGGCAAGGGAGACATCTGCCCCTGGGCGCAGCATCCAGAGGGAGCCAAAATGATTTGAAATTTTAGAACTAAGTATTTTCCATTCTTAGCAAACAGGTGGGGGTTAGAAATATTCATCTGTTCCCAGGCGCTGAAAATGCTAGCTACGACTCTGATTGTAGATTCTACACAAAAGTGGATAATATTTTTCAAATTCTTTTCTATAAGCGATTACTCCAGATAAGCATAATATGTAATAAAATACAATAAAAAAGGTTTTTAAACAGTAAGATTTTATTTAAAATGTGTATGATAATGAATGCATTAAAAGGATAACAACAACGTTATCCATATAATAACAACGAGTATTTTAATTGAAGCTAAAATAAAAAATGAATATCGCCAATTCATCATTAAGTGCAGCAGGATGGCAAACTTCGTCATGGCCAAGATGGCAGGCTCAAAAGCAATTTTCCCGCAAGAAATGCTTTCTGTCTCATCTGCTTCAGTTTGCAGTACATTTCTTTGAAAAAATGAAAAGAAAATCACTCAATGAATATTTTTTATTCTTACTTTAAAAGACGATGAAAAGTTTGTTTCATAATGTGTGAAAATTTCAAATCCAATATGTTTTTCGATGCTGAAACTTAAAAATCATAATCTCAAATTGTGAAAAAAATAAAGCAACTTTCGAAATTTCGCCTAAGAGTCGGGAATTAAGTTACAACTTTCATACAAATTTTATTTTAAAGATTTTTTGTTTGCTATATCATATGGCACAAACAGTAAATTTCTGAGATTTTTAAGTATATTTGTTAAACCATGATATAGGCAAAAAATCGTTTATACATTAAACAAAAAAAAAAAAAAAAAAAAAAAAAAAAAAAAAAAAAAAAAAGCTTCACCACATTGCATTGTCATCCAAAAACAGCGTGTACTCGACAGCTTATCAGAAAGTAAGTTAAAAATCGATGACAAAATTCCACTTCTAGTAAAACGCCATGAGTAAGCGAAATAAAAGCTTATAAAAAGGCAAAAATCAGCAAAAGGAGTAGAGTAATGCAAATTAAGCCCGTACAACAGTTTCAACGGCCAACAAAAAATATATTCTTTTTCAGCTGCCCAAAACCTGAAAATTGTTTTAAATCAAAGCTGTGAAAATTGTTAATTTTATTAAAAGCCGAGCTTTAAATTCAAGAATAGTTACGATTTTATGCCAAAAGATGGGCAGTGAACATGAAACACTTTTGTTATATTCCGAAGTAAGGTGGTTATCCAGAGGCAAAGATTTAAATCGTCTTTTTGAACTTCGATCAGAAATTTAAAATTCCCTTGGCGCTTCAGAATTTGAATTCCAAAAATGTTTATTTAGTGAATTATGGTTGGCGAGTGTATAATCATATTTAGCTGATATTTTTGGAAAGTTAAATGAATTAAATTTAGGATTACAAAGACAAAGTGTTTATTTGTTTACAATTAGATAGATAATCGTTTTTGATTGATAAATAATTTCAACATGCATTTTCCCGAGAATAATGAAAAAGATATTCGATCAGAAATCCGTTTCGTTCGAATGTACCTGAAATTCTATCGTTCAGAAAAAGAACAATTGACAGAAATTTCCTGTGATCAAACTCTAACCGAAGATTTAAAAAATAATACCCTTATTAACTTTTGGCTGTATCGGAAAAAAAAATTAAAGGCATTTCAAATAGAGAAATTAAATTTTTATTGACTTTTCACACAACCTATTTGTGTGAACAAGGAATTTCTTCCGTGTTATATTTGAAAAATAAATACAGAACAAAATTAAAAGTGGATCCTAATTTAAGGTTAAAACTAAGTGAAATAAGACCATACGAAAAGAAACTGATCTCTTTTATACAGGCCTACATTTCACACTAAGTTTTAGAATTAAGGTAATATATGTTAATTTTGATAATTAAAATTGTAATCCGTTTTTAATCTAATACTTTTTATGTGTGCATACTGAATACAAATAGCCAATAGGTTGTGAAAATGACAAAATATGTCTCTTTTTTTAATATTTCTATTGAAAAATTGAAAAATAATCATTGTAAAATGTAGTGGTGGTACTAAAGTTTTTCAGTTTTTATTTAGATGGTACGCGTTAGTCAAAAGGTTGAAAAGCACTCCTTTAAAGGATAAATAAGGACTAGGATTAATTATAAGGAAATATATTTTAAAAAGTGAAAAGCCTCCAAGAAATTTAATCTACTAACTAGAAATGTTTTTTGAAACGTCGGCAGAAGAGAGCTTGAAAATATGATTTTTCAGTCAACATGCATGCGCAGTGAATTATTTTGCGAACTTCTTTCTCAGGATCATACATTTCATGCACCTTTCTGCGGAATTTCAAAAATTATCTTGTTTAACCAATGTATAATTCGCCCAGACGTCTAGACCAGTAGTTCTCAAACTTTTTGACTAACACGTACCATCTAAACAAAAATTGAAAACCTTTAGTACCACCACTGTAAAGTACGACTACCACCACCACTCTTGAACAAAGCCCAAATCGCATAAATTTACGAGTGTTAGAGAAAAAACCTAATCATGATGTTGGGGTTTTAATTTTTTGAATTTAAATAATTAAAAATACTTTGCTTCTTTGTATACCACCTATATTTCTCTTGCGTACCACCGGTTGAGAACCCCTGGTCTAGACGGTATTTCAGCCGCTCAGACGGGCATCGTGGCTAGGGAAGGCGATTACGATACCGAAGGGCCCGGGTACGGCGGAGAAAGCGTGGATGTAAATTAACTGGACTCTCATAGGAGATAACGGCGAGATTTCCATTTAATATATATATATATATATAAAATCCCGATGCCAAAGAATATTATACACATTTCAGGAGTTGATATCCAGTAGTTTGCTATTGTTTATTTGATTTTAGTGAAATAGGCGAGGGCTATCTGTCTAGGCACGGGTGCCATCACGAAAAACATTCAAGGGTAACTGACCCATTCATATTCATTTTACTCATTCAAAAAAGAGAAAACTCCATGTATAGTCTATACGTTCGCCAGAAATCGAGCGTAGATCGAACTCTTAATGCTCAGCAGTTTTAAACCCGCATGACAATTGCCAGGATTTCATATCTGGAATAGAATCTTTAAAGATGTAATTACGAATTTAAGTAGTAGGATTGGGGGGGGGGAGAAGATACAAAAGCCAAATCAATGGAAAATATGAACCATTTTGTAATTAATCTAAAGAAAGAAAAGAATATTAACACTTTATGATCGCTTAGAACTCGAAAAAAAATTTTTTCGAGAGATATCATTAATATACCATTAATAAAGCAAACACAAAATGGAAATTTTAGCTTTTTAAATAAACTAATTCATGGCAATGCTTATAAACGACAACAAGAACGAGACAGAGCACTTCATGGCTAAGCCTTCAGTCTGCCAAAAATAATTACCTCGAAAAGCAAAGCATGTTTGGTTAAGCATTAATTTAGAGCGCTGTAACGAGTCACGCTGCTATTTCTGTAGTTAAGTTTTGATGTTCGAAGTGAGTGATAAGTATTGTTAAGTAATGTGTGTAATGTCCCCATTATCGCCATATGAAAAAAATATTAATGTACCTGAAACTGTTTTCACTTATTTTTATAGACTGGTTTGGTTAATTATGGCAAAGCACACGAGGGCTATCTGCCAAAGGGAAGGGATACCTTCGTGGAGAACTTTCTAAGCGAAACTGGTTCTTACCTACTTTACCAAATGGCAAAAACCGCGAAAACGTCCATGCAGCTAGCCCGTTCCCCAGGATTCGAACCTCGAGTCGAATAACTAGTGTTCAGAGACTTTACCGCTCGGTCGCTTCATTTTTATAGAAGCTCAAACATTCAAAAACAATAGTAATCTGGTCACATAATTGTTTTATGTACAATAGGGACTACAAGTGAATTTTATAATCGATTCCAAAAGAATGAAGATTTAATTGCAATTTTTGAGACAGCCATGATGAAAGACCTCTAAGAATCAAAATAAGTGGACACTCATCTAAGAGTTTAGATATGCCTACGGTACATGGATTTTTACTCATATTAACTCTCTGGCCAACTTTATCACCTTTGGAAGCAATAACCACAAACGTAACTAGAACCAAATGTTTTAGAACATCACAGCATTTAGGAGTGGCAAAACATTTGGAATTAGGGGAGGCACTGGACGGCATAATTTAAAAGCTACAAGGACTGCATGAGCCAGCAAAAATCCTGGTAATAATGGATGGATAGCAAAAAATAGAAATAAAAAAATCTAAAAGTTTTCAGATTTTAACGGTCGTCACTCGCTGAGCTCGCAGTCTACCAGTCTGACAGTCTGCTGTTACACTTACTCCTATAACCCCCCATTTTTTGTTGTTGTCTTTTTAACTTTATTATTAAGCATCATTTTCTTAGCATTTACACCATACACAGTTCAACATTACAAAACTTTTAAAAGCAGCATAGCAGTATGCGTTAGAATTCCCGATGCAGCGATTCCCAATGTTGCATACATTATCGTGTTTTTTTCAGTCTTTTGTCAGTTTATCATATCGGTGTTCAGTTTTCTCAATAAGATGGCTCTAGAAACTTTTTTGTTGTTCTTTTTATTATTAACATTATGTGTATTTACTTTATTTCACACTTTGACTGACACGTTACCCGTATTCGGGTCATCCGAATTCGAGTGACAGTTCTTTTAATACTTACGAGCTAAAGTAGGTACTTGAAGAAAAAAAAAAAAAAAAAAGATTGTCGATTGTTGAAAGAAAGAAACAAACAGGATTGTAGCCGATATCTCAATTTTTCCGTTCGCTAAACTGAAGTGTACTTACTTTTGGTATTAAAATTGTGTTTCTTCCTATGCAACTAATTCTTATAAAATACGGTCAGTATTACCGGTCAATACGGTCACATTTATATTCACTGCATTTATCAGTATTCAAATCAGAATTTGAAGATGTAATTTTGTTTATAATTAATTATCATTCTGAAAATTTCGACTGTTCCTCACCGGTACTATTCGAATCCTTGTATGCCTCGCAACAGGTTTCTTGTTCACTGCTATATGATTCACTTAAAAATTACTCTTTCAGTTTCCTTAGGCATTGCAAAATGTTGGGGCAACAATTTTAATCCCCAAAAATTTCAACCATTTGTCATTACATAAAAAATATTTGGAAAAGGAGAAATAATTTTCCAATCTCACACCCTTTCTTGTATATTTCATTCTTAAGGAAAGATTTTTAAATTTAATATATGTCAAAAAAGTTTCGTTTTAGAGGTTCTAAACTCCTACGATCAGAAACAGCTGACATCTGGTAGCCGCGCTCTTGTTCTAAAGGATTTTTCTTATCGTTGAATTTTTTAATAAAAAATTCGTTAAAGTTTTACAAAATATGAAATAGATAATAAAATTAATTCGAAATTCAAAATTCGAGCTTCCTGGTGCTCATGTTCGGGTGAAGGACTATGTTATTCAGAATTGGATGGCTCTAGGTAACGCTGTTTTTTCACGATGCGAGAAACATGCATACATTCATGCAGATTCTTCATTATTTAATTTCTTTAAATATAATAGAGGGTGATAAAATTAGGTGGCAACAATATGAAAAGTGATGCAAGCCTTTAAGTAATCATGTTCAAACTGAAAGCAATTTAATATACGGAATATATTAAATTGCTTTCAGTTATATACGGAAACAGATTTACGAACGCTTCCTACTTACCTGCTGAATGTAAAGCAGCTCTGAGTTCAATCGTGTTCAGTGATCCTGAGTGATCAATATCGTACTTCTTAAACACGTTCTGAAATGGATAAATATGCATATTAAAGACACATCCAGTCTTAAAAAACATATTCATTTATAAAATGCAAAAGTAACATATTAGAATTGATTGTTACAACCAACATCAGAAAATAATTTATTCGGAAGGGGGTATAATTTATTCAGTAATAATTCTTTATAGCACCACCTCAAAAATTAAATATTTGTTTCGGTAAAGCCTGCGAAGGCTATCTGCCTAAAGGAAGGGACGTCTTCGTAAAGGACTTCATGTACATTACATATAGGAAAAACTGAGGACTTAAAAGATCCCTATTTATAACTGGGAAAAACATTTCCAAAGTGCAAACAATTTTAAGACAGTTATTTGGCTTACGTTAGTCACTGATTCTTTAGAATACCAATTTCTTAGATAAATATATGAATTGATACTATTATTTTACTACTGTACTAAAATATGCTCAGTTAAAAGTATAATATTTTATTTCCTGCTTAAATTTTTAAACATAAGTTTTAAACATAAGTTTAAATTTAAAACATAAGTTTTAATTGAATATAATTATTCAATTAAAAAAAAAGTTAACTATTATACGTTTCAGTTTACAAAGAAAGAAAACAAAGTTTTTTTACAAAGATAGAACTGGAATTGGGCACTGAGACTCAGATTTTGGACATTTTTTTTTTCTTTTTCTTTCTTAAATATATATATTTTTTTATGGCCAGTCCCATTTTTTGATCATACGGTTGGGTAGGAGGATCGGGGCTGTGCCTTTATAATGATAATAATGATTCGTTTCAGTTGTAAAAATTATTGTTCTTAAAGTATTGAAAAATTATAATTTCAAGACTAATAGCAAGCAAATATTCAAATATTTAATCATGAATGCACTGATAGAATTTTATCTTTTTAGACTGATATGAAATAAAATTACATACATTTAACCCAAACGACTTAACAGATTAAATACAAAAATAAGTTTCTGAGAGTATAGATGCTACTTTTGGTAGAATTGGTATTATTTTTATTTACAATGAAAAAAAGTATAAAACAATTTAAATTATGTGATTTTTGTATAAATGCATTATAATTTTTTTTTTTTTTTTTAGCTATCAAAGCATTCAAGGACATTTATGCGCAACGTAAAATAAAATAGTGGAGCTGCTAAAAATGAGATATTAAACCAAAATTGTCAAGCAGCTATTTAATGGAATTTTATGTTATAATTCCTTCAACATGGCAATGAAGTATGCGACGTCATTTAAGTCATTTGGAGAAAAAAAAAAAAAAAAAGAGGCCGTTTAAAAGAATCTATTTAAATTCCAGTCAGACAAGTTTATTTCAAAAATCTGTTGTTATCAGCTACGATCACAGTCAGTAGCCACAAGTGTCAGCAGCTAATTCTATCGAGTTTGGAGAAGCCACCAAAACTTACTAATTAAGTTAGATATTCTAAGCAGATTTGATTTAGAAGCATATTTCCTGATCCATTCGATGGCTTAAAAATCCTGCAAGAAACCCGTAAAATATCCTTCAGCATTAAATCACACCATACTCCTGTTGTATTTGCTTTTATATTTAGTGAAATTCTGGTATCTTTATAAATTTTATGTGGGATTAGAATCAATGTCCTGAACGGACTTGGTTATTAGGATAATTACAGCTTTTTGGTGTATGCATTTTTTCTAACATTAAAAAATAAAATAAACCTAAACTTCTGAACCAAAATTTTCGGCGATGCTGCCTACGCCTGCCGGAGACCCCATGTTAGACTCTTGAACATTGTATTAAATGCGAAAAGCAATTTAAACCTTGATGTGGGGCAGGAAACAAAGAATATTGAAAGAGATGTAAAAAAAAAGAAACTGATTTAAAATTTAATAGTGAAGAAATTCAAAAGTTAAGGTTGAAAATTCCCATGAGGGCTATCACAGCACATCAAACAACAGGCTATAGGAAATTCTATCCCAAGACTGTGGCGTCACCTATCGGTCATTTTATCAGTAAAACTTCTGAACTTAATATTGTTATTTAATCAACAGTACTAGTTACAAGATGTTAAAATATTGATCGATGTCAATTTAAGGATACCATCTGTTGCGTCAAATAAATGAAATATATTGATTAAAAAGTGTTTCTAAAAGACTCCTTTTCAAACTTTTTCCTAAAACCAATGATGATCATAGAGGAATCACCAATTATCTTGAGGCTAAAAATGTCGAACATTATATTATTCAAAAAAAGATGGACAAACCCATTAAAGTAGTTATTAGAGGCCTATCAATTGATTGTTCAACAGACGAAATTAAAGATGAACTTTTGAACTTGGGTTTCAAAGTAAGAAAAGTTGAACAATTGCATCGACTCGATCGCGTGCACCAATGCCTCTCTTCCAAATTCAGCTAGATAATATTAAAGGTGTCGAGAAGGTTTATGATATTACATACTTCATGTTGTTTTACGTTGAAATCGTTGAATACAAAGTGAGTGGGGGTGTTGTGCAATTCACAAATGCCAACACTTTCACCACCATTTTGATTCTTGTAAATTTAATCCGCGCTCCGTAAAATGCGCAGGCCCACATAAAACTTCAGACTGTTCAGCTAAGAAATTAGCTGTAGTTAAGTGCTGCAATTGCCTGGAAACAGGACATACAGCAAACTACAGGGGTTGTTCAAAGTTCCCGAAACTGGTTAAAAATACTACCAATATCAGTAAGGTTAGTAATACTAACAATATCAGTAAGTTAATAAGGAGAAATCTTCTCAGGCTACTCCTGGAATTTTTTATGCTAACATCACCCAAGGTATTAAGAAAAGCCCACAAAATCCCACGACTGAGTTTAAGAAACCAGCAAAAAACAGGGTAAAAACAAAGATTTAGGTATAAATGCCCTCTCAGATATATTCAAGTTAGTTAAAGAAATATATAATATGTTCAGAGGTTTTTCCATTGCTAATATTCTTCAGAAAATCTCAGGCTGCAGATAATTCTTTTGACAAAATATTTATTCTGTTTAACTTGTTTGAGGAAATTTTCATGAACAACACTAATTAATGGTGTCCAAGTCTTATTTTATTAAAAAAATGGTTATGTACCCCTTTATGTACAATGATTATTTATGTACCCCTTTATGTACAATGATTATATATCCTCGGTAGCAGTGCTCTTTCTTATTTATGTATTTCGCATTACTAACTAAGTCACCACAAGCTCTGCACCTTGCCATGTATAACTGTATTTATTTGTCCACTACTGATTATTAGTTCCCAGCTCGAATGTTTTTCTAGATGCACAACTCACAACCATTAACCAGTACTTATTTCTTCACATTTTTACAAATTACTAACATTGCATTAACCGCCACGGAACACGGTCCAAGAGAGATTTCTTCCATATGATAGGGTGTTTAGCAGCAAAAATAATAAGTTCTGAAATTCGAGTAATTCTTCAATATGATTTAAGCAAAAATTTAAAATGAACATCAGTTTTCCATACACGAAACATAAAGGTAAATACATAAAGCTAGTACATGAAGGGGTACATAAAAATGTTATTAAAAAAATTTTTCTAATAAAATAAGACTTGAGCTGATAAAATAAGACTCTTCTAAATTCTTTATTCACTTTTTGGCACTTTAATGTGAACTGTTATATTTGTATAATTAAGATCAGCTCAAATTTTCGATCTGGGGTAGAGCCTTCGGCCCTGGCACCCAGGTGTTCTGACACCGCTCCACAGGAGGGAAATTACACTGATATGATAACTGCTGGACTTCTTCAGAATGCCTAAAACTGCTGTACCCTTGCAACTTAATTTCTGTGTGATATCTTGACATTTTTTTCGACATATTTGGGAACTGTTATAAGATGTTCCTCGGAAAGTAAACTTTTTAATATTGAGAGAGAAAACTGATGTTGATTCTGGATTTTTGCTTAAATCATGTTGAAGAATTACTCGCATTTCAGAACTCTATTATTTCTACTGCTAAACATCCTATTCTACGGAAGAAATCTCTCTTGCACAGTGTTCCGTTGTTGTTAATCGAGATCATTTGTATGCGTAAAGTATTAAAAGCAATTAGAAGAAGCTATCAAAGAACAAAAAATGCAATTTTAAGACATATTTTCGGAAACAATTATTTAGATATGGCTAAAATATATGCCTTAGAGGAAAGGAACTTCAAGGATATTACTATGCAAAATCTTTGGGAGAAAATTTATACATTCGGTGTCAAGAAAGAATTTTTCGAAAAGTACTAAGGTTTTAGAACTTCCGTCCAGGCAGGTTACTTCATTTTCTGGGGATAAAATAGACGATATTCTGAAACGGTTATCTCCTCTTGACAGTTTAGATAATAATAGGGAATTCCATAAATCTTTTTGCTTATGGAATAACAATTCCTTATGATACAGATAATTATGATTTTCCTTTTTCAATGCTGAAGTTAATGATGTTACAAATTTTTTAATAAATCGTTCATGCCAGATAATTACAAATGAAATGACCCGGAGATTTTACGATGTTAACCCATCTATCTTTCATAAGGATCAGAAACATTTTACAGCGGTAAGAAAGAAGCTTAAAATTGTTACTTTTCCTAAAAGTGCTCAAGCTGAATGACCTAGTATTGGAAAAACCAGATGTATTAGTCTCCTTCCTGTTTTAGTAAATGTCTCGATTAGGTTAGGTTATGTGAATATGACAAAGCACAATAAAGCTATCTGGTTACTGGCAAGGATGTCTTTTTAGAGAATTTTCTAAGGGAAACTGGTTTATATTCACTTACACAAGCGAAAAGTCTCGAAAATTAACCATGCACCAGCCCGTTCGTTTGCGTTGAACTACTAATATTCAGCGATCTTAATCACTCGGCCACTGCGGTTGGTAAATGCTTTGGAAACATACCTAAACAATAAACACTGATTGCAGAATTTGTTTGTCATTTGGAAAGGTTCCTATCGAAGAACTGCAAATCAAAAATTCAGTAGTTATGTTGTGTAACAAATTTCAGAGGAATATTTTCTATTCCTCAAATAAATGAGGAAACGTATGTTTATGGTTATATAAAATTTCTATGAATACTTACGGAGTTAAAACAGATGTAAGTGTATAGAAAGAACATTGCGTATATTCTATTCGTTGCGATAGAACAATTTCCTTGCGTAAATTTTTCTATATGCAAGGAAATACCGGCATTATTCCTTGCGTAAGGAATTTCATACGCGTAAAGGATTTGGGACTTACGGAAGAAAGTAAACTGATTACGTATAGAGAAATTGAAAGATTCCATTTACAAATCGGTCGAAGCTACAGAACTATTAATTACAAGGTTGTTTTCATTATTTATGGTATTCCGCTCACTGACGTTGAAATTTAAAAAAATTTTGCAATGAATGAGAGCATTTGTATGCACTTCTCGTCAAATTGTTTTGAACGCAATTTCCGTTTGCGCTTCTGCCACATGCTATTAATAGGAGCACTCTACCAATTGTTGCCTGTTCCGATGCTGTTCTCGAGGAGTACCAATTAATTTGTTTTATTGAAGAAGCAAGATAAATGGCAAAGTTGTGTGTGCTTTTGCTGTTTGTGAAGATAAACAAGAAAGAAACTTCAAACAGTACAGAATTAGCAATGATGGCTCTGTTTCTCAGGCTGAGTTGCTATAATTCATTTTCGTTGTTAAATGGATTAAAAATTCATGTACCAGTTTGATATCAATGAGCATTTTAATATATAGTAATTGTTTTTCCTCACTACAGTTTTTACAGAAAATTAGCACCCCAAGGGGACTCGTAGTTGCATTTCAAATAATTATTAAAAAAGTGCAAGATCTTAATATCGATATTCATTCTGTTTATCTTCCTGGCTATTGTAAAAGTTCTGGAAAATACAGAACTGATGCTATAGGCGAAGCTAGCCAGGAAAGTTCATATTGATTTATACCTCAAAGTTTAAATTTTCAATCAGAAGCGCTTTTAAAAGAAATGTTTTTCTCTGTATTTGGAACAGAAGATAGCTTGCCTCACCAAAAGCACAATGGACAAAAAGGTTTTTTCCTACACGTTTCACGAGCCAGTTTCCCTTAGAAAGTCCTCCACGAAGGCATCCCTTCTCTTAGGTAGATAGCCCTAGTGTGCTTTGCCATAATTAAATACACCACCTACACGTTTCACAGAACAAAAGTCGATCAATTTTCAGTAGATTTGAATTTAAATTTTGTGTGCCATAGAAATTTTAAGGGTTATTTAAAGAGAACTGGATTTATTCCAAGGGCGCTATGCAGCTGCGGTAACGACAATACAGATTTTAATCATTTTTTCATGAATGTTTTCACTGTGTTCAGTAGTACTTTAGGTCATTTTCAACAGCCTGTCTGACTCTCGGTCGCCCATTTTTTCTGAAGTTTTACAGACTAAAGAGATAATTTCCACTTTTGGGAATTTCATTTTGAATTTAGTTTTTTATTTTCTCCCCTTGCAGTGTTATTGAGCTTTTTATTCACTTATTACGTTACTAGCATAATTTATTTGCGTAAGCTTTGTAGTAACATTGGGAAATAAAAAGAGATGAAGCTACAGTTAACAGAAACAGCAATATTTACGGAAAAATATTTGTCAAATGTTAAAAAAGTTCTGCGAAGCATTATATTGTCATCGTTCTTATGTTCGCCTGCAAAATCCACAAATCAGTTCATTAAAAGGTTAAAAATTAATTTCAAGATTTTATTTTAACAGATAGACAAAGAAAGCAACCTAAATAAAAAAGCGTAGAGAAAGAGAAGAACATCATTACCTTCCAGGTTCTGATATCAGCCCACAGATTCTTGAATTCTTCTAATCCTAGTTTACCAGACCTGTCGACCTTATTAAGAATTAAGGTAAACTATAGAAAGTTTGAAAATAAAAGTATGTCACATCACTGTGTGTAAAGGAAAAAAGTAAATGTAATACACATAGTATTATCTTAATATACTAGCAATACTTACTACGTGTCAATTGTTTTAAATTTTATTAATGAACGTGCAGTTTTATTTATATTTAGTGTTCAGTTTTAACAAGTTTCTAAAAACTTTCCATATGAACAATTTGGAAGTATATAAAAAATAAACTCAATCATAACTACTATAAGAGAACTTTTTACGCATCTAGTACGAGAAAATTTTATTAAATAATATATTGGCAAAATATTATTATTAAGTTTATTATATTTTTTGTGTAGTATATTATAATTATTTTTCGCCCCATAATTCACTTATTTTTCTGTCTTATTAAAAGAGATTTCATGCGTAAAATAGTTAACAAGTATATGGAATTGTAAGTTATTAGTGATACGGATAGCTTTTCACTTCTATTATATGGGAAAAATAATCGGCTGAAGGAAAATATCATCCAAAGCAGTAAGAGGTATTTACAATTAAAGAAAGTGATTTTAGATTAAAATAAAATGAATAAAAATACCAGCAAAAATCCATTACAATTCTAGAGACAATATTTTATAAATATTTAGAGTGTATTCATAAATATGCAAGGGAGAACATTTTAATATTTGTTTGTATATATATTTAAACCTTTGCTATAAATTTTCACCAGTTGTTTTAAAAAGGATACATCCATCATGGCCACCATGCTCCTGCAGACGTCCAGCGAAAAGCCGTCGAATGTAAACTCTTTTTTAGAAAAAACAAGAAATATTTCAAAATTGCACCAAAAAAATTGATAAATTAAAAAATTAAAAAAATGAATTAGGATGTTATTTAACAGGAAAGTGCAGATATTTTAGTCATGCCACGTGGTTAATGTATTCTTCTAGAAAGGTTTTAGTAAGCATTAAAGTGAAAGAGTAAGTTAAGTGAAAGAGTTTGCACATTGCTTGAAAAAAATACTGAGATTTTCATTTTCCTTAACTCAATTTTGTGTCTGCATGTCATTGCGGAACGTTCCTCTAAAGCTAGTTTCAGAAAACACAGGCAATTATTTTCACAACAGATGAAAATAAATTCAGTAAAGATAATTATAAATTGTATTCGTATATACATAAAAATAAAAACACAGAAAGAAATTTGAGAAAATTTTGCAATTTCGAACTTTTATATATTTATCTCTTAGAAGTTCAAAGCAAGATTCAAGGCAGTAGTAATTCTAACCTAACGAAAACAATCATATGCTGTCTTTGTTTCTTTGAGGATAACACACCATCTTTGAGGATAACACACCATCGATGCAAATTACTGTCAGTTAAATTTTCTAACCTTTATTATATCTTTCTTTGAATTTCAAGCGTAGCAATTCAATTCAGATTTTTTAACGTCTGGTCAAGGCGATGGTCAAGGTCTAGCCTGTCTTCTGTTTTTATTTGCATGTTTCCCGCATTACAAAATGCCAGATGACTCAATAATTTCTTTTAAAAAGTTTTGTTAAAAGATATCTTAGCATAGAAATATAAAAATTAGCTGAACATGTTACCTACAAATCCTTGAGGAAACTTACATATCATTTCCAATAAATGAAAAAAAAAAAAAAAAAAAAAAAGACATTACAGTACTAACGCACCAACTTGGATTTATCACACCATAATTTATTCACGTTAATGAATTCGCATTTTTTTTTTAAAGGATCATCACTGAAAATCCTCTGTTGTCTCTGATATTTTTCTATTTACGGTCGCAAATCAATGAAAAATGCAAAATGAAAATTTAAGGAGTTCACGCTTGCATTATGTTGCACCTAGGCGTTCAGAACAAAACCTAAAGCTAAGGAAGCAACAATTACAATTCGCGAAAGTGTCTATAACTCTTGTGCAACATGTATTTCTCTCTCTCTCTTTTTTTTTTTCTATCTAGATTATTACGTTTCTACAAGAATTACTGATGCAATCCTGGTTACAAATAAACAATATTAAAGTATATTTTTAAACATTTATAATAATGGAATAAAATTAACATTTTTATTAAGCACTTAATACACTCAAACTAACTTAACTCGGGTTCACCGAACTAAAATTATTTCCATCGTCCGAGTAAACGTTCAAATTTTTTTTCCAGGTATAAAGACAACAGAATATATTCACTATATTTTGAATTAAAATAAAGAAAGTGGTTAAGTTAAAATAAAGAATAAAAAAATTGCTGCAAAAAAGACAAATTTCTGAATTTTTATTGGTGCATTAAGGATTGAAACGTATGAACGAACCGACGAAACAGACATGACAATACAATGAAACTGTTCTATTCAAAATGAAATATATTATTCCAAAATATAACGCAAGAAACACGCAGGAATTGAAATTCTGACTAATTAAAAAAAGAGTGACAAAGGAGCGATGTTTAATATTATGAGTTTAACCACGAACATAAACTGAAAATTTTCAAACAATGTGCAACAAACCAAAAAAAGTTAATTTTTCAGTAAATATGAATAAATATAGAACAGTTTGATACTTTTGCCATTTCAAGAGTCACATGTTTTCTCGCTTTTTTTAAATAACTTGAAACACATTAACTATCATATCACTGATGACTATATTTCTATGGATCGCTCTAGAATTCTTCTGAACACGTAACGGACGCTAAGTACATCATTAGCTACTGTAGGATCGAGGCAAAAAATAAGTAGAATACGTAGTTAGGCATGATAAAGCATAAGAGGGCTACTTGAGGAGATGCTTTCTAAAATGATGATTCTAAAAAATATTCTGAGGAGATTTCTTTCTCGCTTATGCAAAATAAAGCTCATATAAGCAAACCCTACTGAAGAAACAAGTCCATCTAACGAATAAAATTTCACACACAGTTGTCGTCATCATGAAAGCAAAGCGAACACAAGTAGTCGGCCAAAAGCATAAGCATAAGAGAGAAATCAACAAACGATTATTTAAAAGAAATACAAAATTCTTTGACCTTATACTTGCATGCGTTTGTAAACAAATACGAAGTAACCTTGCTAAAGTTCTTATATATATTGACTCAGGTCCTTATATATATATATACGAAGGATTTTTCTTAAAATATTCTCTATATTAACACACTTATTGTTTGAATAACGGGAAAAGGTCTAATTTTTTTTTTAGGATGATGTGATGCATCGGCTCATTACAAATTTTTTCTGATGAAAGTACACATACCATTGGGTCTATACAAACTGTACTATACAAACTTGTAATATACATACAAACTATCTAATCTGAAATTATTCATTTAAATCGCTAAGTATTCTACAATTTCCATTTTCAGACTTAACAACACACTCAAGTAGAATTATATTAAAATAAATATCTTTCCTATTTTTATAGTCCAGCGCATTCACAGTATTATGATAAGACACAGATAGCGATTAAAAGGGGGAAGTATGATTTTAGAAATAGTTAATAACATGCTGTGCTCATACATCATGCATATGCAAAGACATGCAAAATTAATTCCTGCACCATATGGGTTAGAAAAGATAATTATCCTAAAAATAAAGCAGTCTTACCATTCTCTGTTTGGAGGTTCAACATTCCAGGGAATATGGAGGTAAGGGGGGAAAAAAGGGAATTCACGTTACATAACTTAAAAATTGGGAAAAATCATGCAATATTTTTTAAAACTAAACTAAAAAACTATGCAAATTATGCTGAGCTTTTCTGCTGGTTGAAATGCAATCCTCAATTAAGACACTCGTGAATTTATTTATCGACAAAATATCACCTACCTAAATCCAATGATGCTGCAATGAAAAGAAAGTCATATTCTGAACTGAATCAACACATTTCACAACTAAAATTTCTAAAAATTACCCTTTAAATGGGTAATTTTTCAGTTCAAAGTTCTGAAATCGTAATCTGGGGAGCTACATGTGGTTTTTCAAACTCTTCTGTCCATCCCTTCCTTTTCCGAATCAGTGTCACATTCAAATAAATGAAACATACTATTTTTTTTTATATATATTTCAAGAATATTTCTTCAACTACATAAAATTATAATTATGCTCAAGCTTAAAACCTATTTAATTATAGACTTCTAAAATAAAATTTTGTTTAACATTTAAAATATCACGATATTGTAATTGCTTTTAATCATTTGTTTATGAAATACATTTGCAGAATTTTGTAAACATTCTAACAATCACCAGCCCAGGTTACGATTTAAGAACGTTTATTCTAAACGTCCTATGAGGTTTATATCAGATAATTAAGACATAAAACAATCTCTGAACCTCAGCTTGAATGTTATTTCAAACTTTTACTCGAGGATTTATTTTAAAATGTATACTGGTTTGTTAAAAAATAACCACCTTATTATACATAATAACAACACTTAAAGCAAAATCTACAGTGATTTTGAAACATGGAGGCACAGTATAAACAATAATTTCAGAAGGAACACTTTTAATTAAATATAGGAAATAATTTTAAATCAAGAAACTTCTCCTGATGCAAGAATTTCATTCTTTTCGCAATTGTATGAATTCTTCATTTCGTTAATGCTTAATGTACATTGAAGAAAGCTTTAAAAAAAGTCCGATCCTTAGTAGCAAATAGTTTTAAAAGTTTTTCCTCATTTGTAAATTTATTATTTTTATTTATTTAATTTTTTTCTCAGACTGCTCAGCTTCATGCAGTGTTTTTTCTCTCAGTTTAAACTGAAATCACTGTGAATCAGTAATTTCCATTCTTATACATTCAGACGTTTAGAAAAACTGTTTTTTTTTTTTTTTTTTAATCTCATTCGCATTTGAATATGAGATTTTGCAAGCTCTTGTTTTCGCATATCAGCGTTATTATGTATTTGATGCATATAATGAAGTTTTCTCTGTTTATTACAAGTAAAAAAGTGCTTTATGCTAATAATCATTAATGTTTCAATCAAATAAATTTTATATCAGTTCTTGCAAGAAAGGGATAAAGTACGAAATACAGAATTCTAATTATATATCAAGTGCTAAGTTTGTTTTGGTTTTAATTACTTATACGTTTTAATAAAGTACTAATGTGCACTTTTAACAACCTAGATTTGAGAAATGCAGTTTTAAATTTCGGAATTAAATACCTAGAAGTAGATCATTTTCAAAATTTTTGCTTCGGATAGTTCATCATTCAAAGCGCATTTAAATAAACTGCAACATGTATTCCAAAAAATACTTATTTTATCAAGTATTATCAAGTATTATGCATTCTTTCAAATATTGAAAAGCCACATATTTGTTTATCTGCATATTTAAAAAAACTTCTTAAGCGTGCTTAAAAACACTACATCTTTGCTTAAATGGTAAGTTTAACTTTCACTAAAACAAACAACAAGGTTAATAAAATTCTTGTTACAAAAAAATTAAGCTCAAATTTCGTCACATGTGAACTATATGCACTGAAATTTAAAACTACAGCAATTACGCAAGCAAATTATATAACGTCACTAGTATGTTATAAAAACAAACTCTCCCAGAAAAAAATTGAACCAAAAACAAAAACTAACATTATTCCAAAACAGTTTATCATCTTTTACTTTTTAACTCACAAATACCACAGAATTTTCCCAATTCCTACCTTTCTTCAAAGCAAAATCCAAGATTTCTTGCAATTCGTAGCAGTCGACTTCTAAATCTTCACCAGAGATGCTGGCAAAGAAATCTTTGACTTCCTGATCCTTGCTTTTTTCTTCTTCTGTTTCTTGCACTTGAACCTACAAATATCATTAAGAGAATCGTATTTAGATTGCACAACAAATTACATCAATTTAAAAAAAACCGCAGTCATGCTTTATGAAATACTAGGGGTACACGCCACACAAGAAGAGATGATAGTAAATAATTTAAACGCATGCATCTTTCTAAGAAAATTAACGAGTGTTTTTGGATTGTATAAGTGCGATGAATTGATGAAAGCAAACATAATTAAAATTTCAATTATATATTTGACATGCATTAATGGATAGCCAATGAACTAGGGATTACGAATTTTATCCGCTGCTATATAGATATAAAATGGCTATACAGGATATCATAAAATTCCTAATTTGAGATCTCTTTCGTTAATATGCTCCAAACTTCTTTCTGTGGGAATAGAAAAAAATAAAGCATCTTGAGGGCCTAATTATATTTTATTTTTATTTAAATGAATAAACAAGAAAATGTCCATATAAACACCAAAACCCATTGGCACAGATCTTATCCAGTCCCTCTGAAAAGGTCTTAACCGACACTGTTGCATATTAGCCACTTTATTAGTCAAAACTGTTGCCTTGATTTTAAATTACATACGTTTTCTTACCTTTATTAATGACCTTCTTATTTTCAAGGTAAATGTTGTCAGTAAAAAACTGCTAAAGTCTTTTATTCTATTTTAGTTTTCTGTTTATTGAAATAATTAAGAGGTATATTTCCCATGTTAAGAAACATTTTACCTCCATGATATCCTACAAAGGAACAATCTAAATTTTGTTACTGCGAAACTAATGGGCCGGCGAAAATTTAATTGAGGAAGCATTTATTCCCTTTTTCCTTTCCTTTCATTTTTAATCAATTTTCCGTAAGCTTGAGCAATGCTAAAAACAAAATACAGTTAAATGTTTCTTTAAGAAGCTAGCTACGAAATTTTGTGCTATGAAGGAGCAAATGGCCCAATTACAATTAGTTGATGTAAGTGGTACTACAAGCTGAAGAAAATATCACACATTTCGTTCTTCGTTACACCTTAGTGGGTAACGTGTCTCTAATGCAAACAACAAGGTGTACTATAAATTCAACATCAGAAGGATTAATTGCTAGTTTTCAAAACTTTGGTTAAGTCTCAAAACACATGCTGAGCCCAGATCTGACACTTTATGGACTTAAAACAGACAAAGGATTATTATTTTTGGGGTCAGCCAAAAGTTTTGGTTCATGCCGAAAGGATTACTGATCTGCAGCACCGAGAGACGAAAAACCTCGTAGCGGCTTAGGCTGATTCTGTGTTATTGGAGTTACAGTATCGAATGTTCGTATGTTCTAAAAATAACAAATCTAATTCTGAACTCAGTGAAATCCCATATGATGTTTGATTTTTGTAACCCCCGGTAAAATTACAAGTTCGTTACATTTTTATTTCTGTTCTTGCTACTCATACTTAAAAGTGTTACTAAAACTGAGAAGCTTAAATCTGCTTATTCTGTCTTAAATTTACGCATTTATCTCCTATCATTTCCAGATAATCCACATGAAAAGCTTGGATATTTTCCGTTATAGGACAATATGATGATAAAAATTTTCTTGAGATAAAGAATATGCCTGTTAGGTTAGGAATTTCAGTAAGCAAAGAACGAAAGTACACTATTGTGCAAAACTTAAGCAACAATGTAAATTATAATCAGATAGCCATTAAATTGTAGAAAAGGGGTTCTTGCATTCAGTACAATGAACACGCAATTCAGTAGAAAGGTCATGTGTATGCAAATGTCTAGAAAAAACGTCACAGGCTACGTGAGCGTACGCAAAACGCGTACGGTCAGCGTGCTCAACTCGAGACTACCATAAAAGGAAAGATGGAGACGCAATTAAAGACTTTCGCTTCAAGTACAAGGAGTTCTTTCGTGAAATATTGGTTAGAAGAAATGATCTGGATGACTTCACACGTGGAAGAATGATCGAAAATCTGGAGTAGGGGCGAAGTGTTACCAGTATAGCTGAAGAGTTCGGAATCAACAAAAGTGTCGTTTCGCGCGCTTGGAAAGCTTTACAAACCATAGGTACGGCTGTTAGAAAGGGTGGTGGTGGCCGCCCAAGGAAAACAACTGCAGTGTGCAGTGGATGACCGATATATTGTCCTGCAGGCGAAAAGAGCCCGAAACCAGTCACAACAATCCATAGTTCAACAAATGTGTACAGCAACGGGGTGACAAGTGTCGCGGTTTACTGTGTCCAGACTCCTTCACAAAGGTGGCTTATTCGCCTGCCGTCCTGAACACTGCATTCCATTCCTCGTCACCGTTTACAGTGGTGCCAGAAGCGCAAAAACTGAGCATCTCATCAATAGAGTCGTATCCTCCTTACGGATGAGAGTCGTTTTAGTGCCACAAGCGATACTTAACACAAATTGAGTTGGAGAGAGGTCGGGATATGGTTTAATCTCAGTAACATCACGGAAAGAGACCGTTACGGTGTCCTGAAGATCTCGTCTGGAGAGACATTATGCTGAACGGGCGGACAGAGCTCCACGTTTTCGACAGAAGTTCTGTAACCGGAGATCGCTATTGTCAGGAGGTGATCCTTCCCCATGTGCGTCTGTTCCGAGGTGCCATTGGAGCAAATTTCGTTTTTATTAATTACAATGCACAGCCACACCAGACTCCTGCTGTTCAGAAACTACTGAAAAGTGAAGATATTACTCAAATGGATTGGCCAGCGTGCTGCCCTGATTTAAATCCCGTAGAACATGTGTTGGATGCTTTGGAGAGATGCCTTGTGGCCCGATTACATCCTACGGGGAACACCCAGCAACTGAAACAGATGCTGATTGAGGAATGGGCAGTCTTACTTCAAGATCTGTTGGACAATCTGGTGCTGAGTATGGAAAGACCGTTCGAAGCAACCATTACAGTGAGGGGAGGGCATATCCCATAGTAAGGAACATCTGCTTGTTGTTCCCTCTTGTACAATCATGTATAACGATACTATGAGTTCAATAAAGCCTATTTTTGTTTGATTTCATACTGTAAGCATTGCATTCATTTTTAGCGCAATTATGCTTTCTTCATCGTTTAAATACAAAATGCTGTCTCTTAATTCTGAATTTCATGTCTCTCAGATAATTTCTCATGGAGTTATGCAAAAAAGAACACCTGTTGCTTAAGTTTTGCACACCAGTGTACTTAGAAAACCAAAAAGCTGTTATAAAAGAACAAAAGTTAAATGTGGTTGATAGACTACAGTGAGTGTTCATTCAATGAATTCATATGAATTCCGTGATACAAAGTCATCACATGAGTTTATGGAATCGTCATTCACATGAATTCATATAACTGAGAAATAAAGTTAATAAAGTTAATTCTTAGGTGTTCGCTGGAACTATCAAGTTGATTCATATATCTCTTCATAGAATGCTGCTTGGCACGTTTTATCTATAAAGGAAAAGACCAAACCTTTTCCCAGCCAGATCGGAATCATTACTATCCTTCCATAGCGTCCGTTATTATACACATATCTAAATGCTCTGTTAACAAATTTGTAAAATAATTGAATTAGATATTTTGTGTACGTAATTGTTTTCGCTAGAATTACTGTCTTGAAAACTCCGAGACACAATTTTACACATATCTTGTTATAGTTTTTGAGCAAAAACAATATATTTGAATTAATGACAATTACTCAATCTCACACCGATCTTTGAAGACTAATATTTAATATAATTTCATGAAAAGAAAATTTTTTTAACTTGTTGGGATGTAAGGGCTTTATCACATAAGGAAAATAATCAAGCAATATATAGCGTTATATGTAAATCTGACTTTCAAGAACCTCACAATACATTTTCACATATAAATTGTGACCTGCAGTTCCTTAATGATGAATTTAACGTTTGACTGTTCCAACAAAATGACTTTTACAGAATAAATTTCCTCTCGTTTATAATAACTAATGAGTATCAAATCTTTCGAGGTTTATCTGCATCGAAAGAGTTGAACACTAGCTAAGAGTCGCATAGAAAATAAATTTACACATTACAGTCAGAATCATATAATCTTTTGTATACTTTACTGCGCGTTTACAAACTTTAAGAAATATATGTGAAAACGTAAAGTAAGGGAAGAAAGACACAGGAAAAGGTTTTGTTCAAAGCACTCCAAACTCATGGGGAAGGATATCATGCTTTGCTTTTAAATGTTCAACAAGAGCTTACAGAAAATGGAACAGGATACGTTGTGATATCTCCCGCAAACTTTTCCGTCTGTTGGAAACGATATATATAAATTAAACTATGCAAAAATCTCTGAAAACAATCACTAAATTTATGGTCAGTAATTCAAAGCATTTTCAGGAACATTTAGTTATTATATAACTTAAATATCTCTTAATGAATAAAATCTATCTGTTGAAAGGCAACTATTTCGGAAGATAATGCTTCTTATAATAACAGGAAATTTAGCGGCTCTAAACATAAAATTTTTATACAATTGCAAAAAACGATAAATTGTCGTACAAACATCCTACACTGACAACCAATAAGTATTTGGACACCTATGCAAATGATGATATCTGCGGTCCTAAGGTACGTCACGGACTCCGCCGGTATATATCGTGTAGGAAACAGCATCGGCTTTTAGTCGCATGCAAGATGCCTTGCAGCTCGGAGCTCTCTGATTTCGAGAAAGGTATAATTATCGGGTATCACAAATGTGGCCGATCCTTAAGGGACATATATAACGATCTGAAGTACCGAAAATCGACAGTGGCCTATGTGATTAAGAAGTGGAAGGTGAGCGGTGATTGTCGGAATGTGCCCCGAGTCGGCAGACGAACGAAACTGAGAGATAGAGACCGACGAGTGCTGTCCAGAGAAATTCGGGAGAACCGTACCCAACCGATGGCCCTCATCCGCGAGGAGTTTCAACAGGCATCCGGGAGTATTGTTTCAATGAATACCATCCGTAAGGAAGCACATCTGCTTGGTTTTTATGGTCGTGCTGCTGCCGATAAGCCTTTGATCACAAAAGTCCAACCGCGGCTGCTCGGTTAATGTGGCAAAAGCACATCGAAATTGGACCGTAGATTAGGGAAAACGGGTTTTGGAGTGACGAATCAACGGTTCACCCTTACTGTTCGGATGGCAGGATCTGGGTCTGGCGTCTACTGGAGAACGTCTCCTGCCAGAATGCATTGTGCCAACAGTCAAGTTCGGCGGAGGTGGAATTATGGCCTGGGAATGTTTCTACTGGTATGGGCTGGGACCCTGGTCCCCATCATGGTAAGCTCAACTCCGATGCCTACTGCCCACTATTTTGGATACAATGTGTTTCTACGTTGTGGCAGTTTTACGGGTGGACCCCTGTTACTTTCAGGACGACAATGCAGTTGTCATGTTTCGACGTTAACCAAGGCTTGGTATGGTGCCAATGGAGATCATCGAATGGGACTGGCTGCCCAGAGTCCAGACCTGAACCTATGAGAACCTCTGGGACGAGTTGCATCGCTGAATTAGAGGTGCACTACCGTGCAAAATCGTGAAGGAACTTCTATGTCTTCTCCAAGCCGAGTGGAAGAAAATACCACTAGCTGTCATACAAAGACTTGTGGAAAGTCCACGCTGTAATTACCTCTCGTGGAGGCTCTGCCAACTATTGATTTTGAATAAAGTTAGTTTTTCTTTTCTATCACAGGTGTCCAAATACTTATTGGTAGTCAGTGTATTAGATATGAAATCATAGTATATACAAAAATTTAAAAATAGGTCATAAAACTTCAAGTATAATATGAATTAGACTAGGAATTCGTATTTCTAATAATAACTCATCGACAGAACATATTCTGCTATTCCGAGTCAGATTAATGGCAGAAGGCGTATGCTATTTTCTTTCACTGTCGAACTTATGCGAAAACAAAATACCTGTATCAGTGATGAATCTACGATATTTAAAGAAAATAACGTTAGGTTTTGGTTCTTAATAATTTTTGTGAAATATATAAAATAAGAGACATGCATAATATATAGAATATTTACATTATTTACAAGAATATTTACGATAAAACTAATGTTTGTAACTGGAAAAAATACTTCAAATTCTGTGGCCACAGCTTTTGTAGCCAGTGATATTGCCACAGCGTCAGTGTCACTTGCTCTAAAATTTGTCATCAGCTTCTTTAGTAGTCAAAACTACAGCTCGCTTCTAAGAGATGCAATCATTCACAGACGGACAGAATAATTACTTATTCATTGTATCATCTTGAATCGTCATCTTACTTCATTTTCCCGGTGATTAACAATCTTCGATGTGTTGGGGGCTTACAGGAATGTCTTTTATTAAATAGGAACACATAGGATCCAAAAGCTCAGCGGCTATGGATTTCTGTTAATCAAAGTTCAGGGTAGAAGTAAAACGTAAGACGTATTTATCAATAGCCTCTTCCAGATGAAACTGCCTGATGGAAATTATGCGTTCTAAGTTGCCTGATTTAGGACTTAGAAGAAAGAAAAATTACTTCGGAAGCTTAGCTGCTAATGCACGATGTTCGGAAATCTTATTAAACATAAATGAAAATAAACATAACTGGACACTAAACGGGATCTTTGATGGCGATGAATTGACTTTTTACTCATGTAGACGATGGGAATGAAGATAAACTTTTGTCATTTCAGGCATTTTCAATTTCTTTTTCTTTTCCATAAACTACTTCAAACGTGTAGCATGATCTTACCAATATTGAAAACGGATGTAATTCTGATACTTATCTTTTTTCTTCAAACTGCTATAAAAATATATTATTAAATAATTATTTAGGATTTCAAACTTATGAGACTCAGTTGAGTTCTGAATAATCAAGGGATGTTTATGTCAAGCTATAAAAGCAGTAGTAATTTCAAAGAGCCAGATTCTGTATTTACTAGGAAATACAACTTATTTTTGGAATTTGGAAAATTTGGTAGGATCTTAAAAACGGATGTTTTGATAAATGAAACTATAGAACGAGCGGAAAGAGTTTAATCATCCTACTATACAGAATAACTGTATTGTTTAAATACTAATGCATCATATAACACAGGTAATTACCGTATAATACAAGCTACATAACTGCAGCTGATTATAATACCTATGCCTAGCAGAGCGATTTCAATTTAGGTCCATATTTATATCCATTGTAATTAATTAGGAAGCTTGCCTCTCATTCTAAAATAAATCTCTGCTGTTATCGTCATATATTCACCTATATTTTTATTTCTTAAAATTCATCTTAAAATATTAGGGAAATAGGTGGGGCCGATAAGAGCTTTAGTCTTATTATAGTCAATGGAGGCCTTATTTTCGACTGAAATATTCTCTTCACTTTATAATTTATCTTCATAATAAATTGTGCCTTTTGCCAGTTATTTGAGTACAGCAAATATCTATCAAGATAACATAAGGTACAATCATTAAAATTTAGAAATTACTGAAATTACAAACATATTTTTCACGGAAAATTAGGACTGTGGATATAATTACATTCTTATCCATAATAATGATTATTTTTATATTTGCGTGATTACTTTATTGCCATTTTGTAATGAGCAACAATGTATCATGTTTCAAAATGTAGGAAAATAAACGTAAATTGACCGTTTTCTCTGAGTAAAATAAAAACCGTTTTCTCTGAGCAATTCAATTAAATAAATTTGCAAATTGCTTCATTAAGCTTTAATTATAATAACCGTTCTTCAAAAGTAATGCAAAACACGATAGAATTGATTCTTCATGTCAGCATAAAAAGTAATGTATTTACAATGATTGATGCATATGTTAGAGTGTATATATATGAATAACAAATATTTGAAGTTACTTTAACTATTCAAATGGAAATGGCTTCCATATTGCTGAAATAAGCATTGTTGATTATCCGGAAAAGTTACACAACTCAGTTTCGAGAAATCATAACATTCGCCATATATAAATGTACAAATTTTAACCTTTCATTTTCAAATATTATTTGTCTCCAAAAGCACATTTAGTTCCATCCCATTTTTAGAATTGAAATATTTCAGTTCCTGTTAAATATTATTCTTTTAGATTGAAAATAACAGCGGGAAAATGTATAAGGCGTTTTACTTCTTCGAGTTCCGAAACCTTTCAATTTATAGACTTCCAAACGCACATAAATTCACGAAACAACGTTTACAGGAGAGAAACTACATTATAACGCTCAGATTAGGAAAATAATGAAATAGGTAGCTAAATGTAAATTTCGCTTCTCATGCTTCCAAACGCACTGAATTAACATTTATAGTTTCAGACAAAATATTTTTCATCGCTTCTTTATATCTTACTACTGTTGAAAAGCTACTCAATAATATTTATTTCACTTATTTTTACTGGAGTAGAAAGATGGGCAGCAATCTTTTAGATTGCAGACCATTTCAGATGACAATGGAGATTTTTCTCTGTCAGGAAATAAACACAAACTAGCGGGAAGCCCGCCAGCTGAGCGGGCTGAAGCCCGCTACCTCAGGGATGGATGCCTTTGTGGTATTCGAAAGTTCGACTGAACTACCGGGCTGCTTTCCGCTTTCGTTCGCCGGGATTCGAAAGTTGGACCGAACTACCAGTGTTCAGCGATTTTGCCCGGAATTCGCCCGCTGTATTCACGTATACACACAAATGAAATGATTCTACGGAATAATGCATTAGATACACAATGAAAGTATTTGTGAAGCTATAAATAATTTATATGATTTGATGTAATAACTTGGAGTAGCTACCTGAAAACTAAACGAAAAATATCTAAATACCCTTAAATAAAATAAAAATTAATGTATAGTTGGTAAATGGAAAAATGTTTAAGTACAACATTCCAACATTATTATTGGAAGTTATTAGGCAACAAAATCGCATAATACTTGTAAATTTCCATTACAAAATGAAATGCATTTTGCATTTCTGCAGTTGAAGAAGAAGGTTCTATATTTAAACTTTCGGATTAGTTATACAATTTATTAGTATTACGCTAATTTTTGTCGCCTTAGTACCTCCAATAATAATTATTTAGCGTGTTGTTTTTAACCCAGTTTTTCACATTATGTTTTAAGATTTCCCGTTGTTTAGTTCCTTTATTGAATCACTAGCCGCTGCGCGGGCAGCCTTCGTCTGGCTTTTAAATGTACCGGAAAAGTGCCTATGGAAATTAAATTTATGAAAACCAAACATTATGAAACCAAACATTAAATTTAAAAACAGCGCAGAATTTTAGAAGAACAAATTT